ATCTCTCATAATACCTCTAAATCATCTTCATATTCATGGCCTTAATCGAGAAGGAGGGAGGGGTTACAAACAGAGGGCAATGACAATTTGTAACAGAGCAAGGACACTGATCAGCACCAAGCGAAGGCAACGGCCGTGACCTTCGCATCTAAGATGGCGGACGGTAATTGTCGATTTAGATATTTTTTACTTTCATTGAATTAAACTACTTTAGAGTTGACATTATGCTTTGACATTTGTACCAAATCAGGCTTAAATGACAGTGGAACTATGGAGTATGATAATTTTTTCATATATCGTGCATGAGCGCCACAGTTCAACGATATCTCACTCCGCTTTAAAAGGGAAGGTAATACTAACTAGTAAAGGGGATGTAGTAAACATAAATAAATGATAGGTGAAATGTTATGCCCTGCCTTAATACATAACTAAGATTTCTTATTTTCTCGGACAAATGGTGTCTCACAATTGACTAACTGATTCTATTATCAATACATCAACATCAGGTAATGCATGATCTATCCAATGGATTAAAGATAATACTTGATTCTAATATGGCAAAATAAATCATTCCATGTATGAATTGCATAGTGCATCATTTTACAGATATTATATGGTGCATTCATTGACTCATGGTTAACAAGGTACGGGTATAACTACTTTTAGTATTTCGCAATGAAATATAAACAATTTACACATTTCCAAAATGCTGTACCTTCAGTGATTCCTTCAATATAGATAGTGGTTTGTTATGTTGAAACTTAAAATAATATCTAAACAAATCTGTTTAGTGTATAAGAACAATAAAAGTAAATATGTTTAATATCAATTATTATTAGACATATGAATATAACCTAAAATAAGAAATCTTGTTCTCGTATTCCATTTTAAAATTGGTTGAATGATTTTGGCACAGTAGAAATGATGACAGTCATAATTTATAACTTATACCTAAGTAACTTAATATTATGCGTAATATGCCCTGATGATGTAATATACATGGTCCTTTATAATCAGGTATGACTGAAATTGGACAAGATCTTATAAGGTTACAGTTTCCATATAACGTATGTTCCATATTACTACCCCAAATCTCCATACCAGTAGTTAAGTTTATGAGTCATAATCCCTCATAGTTTATGATGGCAAATGCCTATCCTTGTCTAGAATATGTCATTTTATCAATTTTATGAAATGATTGTTACATAAAAAAAAGTATACAATTACATGCCCCCCCCCCTCCCACACTAAGACTCCATTTTCTTTATCAATCTTTCTACTTCTGTTAATATTCTCAGTCCGGATTCCCCAATTCTACATTCTGTCAAGTAAACATCTAAATAGGATAGTTCTAGCTATTGCTGTTGTTTTGAAATGTTGACTTTTCTTGGGGAAAAATTGTTTCAATTGACTAGATGCGAGTAGAAAAAATCTTGATTTACGCCATTAAATATTCAAAATCCAGTCAAAGCGATGTTATATTTGAAATCTACATGTAAAATTACGTCTAGAAATATGGTTTCGAAAATTGTTTATCAAGTTTGAAAATTTAATTATTTTTGAAAGTGTGACTTCTGTTCGGGTTGATTCTCCATAGAGCCCATGTTACAAAATCACAAAAAGTAAAATATCTTTTCTTGTATTGGTCAGATAACATTTTCATTCACTGGACATATTTTGATTTGCATAACTGTTGGATACATAATGGTTATATGAAAATTGAACCACTAAAACAGATGTAATTTAAGTTAAAGGGAACTTTCTACTATACCCGCCATGCTATCTGACCCGAGCGAGCCACCTGGTGGTGAAACTGGTTACTACCTACTCGCATCTGCGTTATTCTGACAAGTTTTTAGCCAATATCATTCAATTCATCAATATCCAAAAGCAGAGTTTCGAAATGCACTTTGTGCCTGTATTTTCCAATATTTTTTTACGAGAATCAGAATCTTATTCTACAAAACGGGTGTTCATGGAAGTAGCACTAATTATTACATCATTGCTATTAATCGTGTGATTTGATTGGCTAATTCAGTACCATGGGACTAAAAATACCATAGCGTATTTCACAGCTCCCTGAATTATTGGCATATAAAATATGTATCCCTTATTGCCCTTACACGTCGCACGAAACTGGGGACAATTAGAGTAACATTATGGCGTCAAAATACCAAACAATACAATGGGCAGTATAGGGCGCAATCAGCATTATAACGTCAAAAACGACAAGCGTTACATTTTGTCAATTTTAGTCAACCTAGAAATAAGATGCTTTATTCTTATTCAATCCTGGTAAAATTCACAGAGCAACAAGATCTCGAGGACAATATTTCTAAAATGTTTTTGATTTTTGAAAAACGGTCAGGAAATCCAATCGGGGCGTTAGCAAAAATTTATATGTATGGGATTTGTGGTAAAAAATCGATGCGTTACATTTTTTCAAGTCTCTAAAAGCAACTCTTATTTTCTTATTATTTGAAGAATAAAGAACTCGGTTATTGTTTTGTAAATTTCGCCATGACAATATTGTGCAGTTAAATATTTTTTGAAATCAGACCTAAATTAGAAGGTTGAATAAAGGTAGACTTATTGCTTGTCTCCTTCGTCTTCAAAACCTTACACAATTTTGAAAATTTTACAAGCGTTCATATAAGACGATTTGAACTGTAGCCGCTAGGCAATTGTGACGTCATAAAAGCACATGTTTCAATGAATAAAATGTGAAATTTTAGTAAAATTCTGATCAGTATTTCAAAAGTTATCTTGAATTCAACGAACCGTGTAAGCATGGAATGTTACGTCTTACAGCGTATTTGACGATGTCGGAGTACATTTAACTTTTAAAATATGGTAGATCTCATCAAACTTTTCAAGGAAAAATGATTTCAGTGAAATGCGAATAAAAACACTTCAAAATGATATATAATGCACATAGTTAGATTTTTAAATAAGGCAGATATTAACGCTTAAAGCTGAGATTAGCCCGTATTTCCCGAATTGTCCCCAGGTCCGTGCACGTCATACCTGCGTATTGCCCGCCTGGGGATTCTGACAACTGCACCTTCAATGATTTTTGCAATATGTATTGCCCGCAGCCCGTAGGTATTGCCCTCCATAGAATGAAATATTTGCTTAAAATTTATTACTGCTTCGGGCTAAATATCAATTTTGTTATAAACTGAGCAAAACGCCACCTTTAACATGCAGCTAATTCTCCCATCTAACCAACTCTTTTAACATATCAAAATTTAAAAACTGCCACCGATTCAAATTATTCAATCAAATCTAAAATGGTAATGCCTTTTTACTGCTTCGAACTTCCTTATATTTGAGTAGGATATTATAGTAGGATGTTTGTCTCTTTCAACTGATGCTTTCACCAGAAACATGGATATCACTAATTTTGAGTCATATTTAAAATGGTATGCATGAATAGACCTGTGTATTTTATACCAAATAGACACTTCCCCGGAGAGTTCTAAATCTCTCTATATAAACAGCCTAGTTTCCCACATCCCTTGTTGACTTTGCTCCCATATTTCCTGTGAAGCTGTGGAACAATTCTCTTGTTCTTCACAACATTCCATTTTACTGTAAATCAATTAATAAGGCCAATTTATATCACTGGCTTCCCTAGGTCATTTAAATGCCTTGCAATTTTTAATCAGCAATTATTATTAAAGAATAATAGGTTAAATTATCAAATAATGAAAAAGTTGCAAATGATGAGATTTGCTATTAAAATCTTGCTGAAGTATAGTTTAACTATAGGTTAACAGGCTAATTTCTCATTGACATAATTTTAAAGAATCTTTAACATTGACTTATTGTTTCAGTGGTCCTTTTAAAGTTCATATATACACAATCTGAACAACATCCAGTCTCAAACACAATCTGATTATCATCAAGTTTCAAACACAATCTGAACATCATCAAATTCATTGCAAATGCAGGTTTACTTTAATCCAACAGAATGAATATGATAAATCAATAGACTAAGTGAAATATGTCAAGTCAATGGTAAACACTAGTATCTAGTCCAACTAGCACAGGTGCTGCTATCTACCTACTAGTATCAATCCATCTATCCATATACATAGCACCTAATGAGGTCACTAATTCAAGTAAAGCTTTTTCCCCTGTCTATGGTAAAAAATAAATGAAACAGAAAAGTTAGTTTGACACCATTGGTGATGCCCACCTTCTATGGTATAGGGATAAAAGGAAGGTTCATGATAACACTTATATAAAATATCTTAAGTATCTAATAATGATAATGAACATATTACAATGTTACACAATGTTAGTAGATGATAATTAAATGTCAATTGTTGTTAGTGTAATATGTATCTTTCGCTTAATGCTGCAACAATTACGCAAGTACCAAAAAGTGCCACGCCCACTTTCCTTAAAAGTAGTTGTGTGTGACGATATTTGATAAATATTATTGATTTATTGGAGCATTATATCAACTTTTTAGTGCTTTAGTGTGAATATATACATATTTATACAACTTTTGACAAAGTGGTAGCCACAAATTCCGAACAAATTTGCAAATATTTCACTTTGAGAGCGAAGGGACATATTTGGGAGGAGGTCAAATTGAGAAGATTTTGAGATATAAATACTGTTTCCATGGTAACCATATAAGTTAGACATTTTAAATTTCTGGCACTGACTAACCATGGTATGCCCTGCCTACTTAAAAACTATGAATGTATGACATGCATTAGTATTCTTTTTATTAGGTGGTATTAAAGTACCCCCAAGGTTTTCTTGGGGTGGGGGTATAAATTGGCCTGAGGGCCGTCTGCCACCCCTACATGAAGTCCAACTACCCAGAAAATACCCAGCATAATCATACAGACTGTTTGAAATATGTTGGAATGTGTGACCTTCCATGAAAAGCAGAAGTTACAATTATCAGAGTAGTCCACAGTCTATTTATCATCGTTTGAAGGTCAAGAGCAAGTAGTACATAATTACATAGGCAAATCTTTACTAAATACTAGTATCGTGTATACATGTACATGTACGTTATCATCTGGTAGCTTTACTCAACAAAACATTGGCAACTGTACATCAGGAGTGACGGGGAGGAAGTTTGAGAATGGCAATCAAGAGTGCGTTTCCTGATGTCTTTATTCCGGATGAGTCCCTGGCTGAATTCGTTTTTGATAAAGCACGCGATTATGGAGACAGAACAGCACTGGTAATTAGGATGTCTCATTAACATGGTGCAATAGTTGTTGGATTTAAAGTTGTAGGCCTACACAAATCATTTTACTCGATTAAGATATATTTATGCTATCGTACCGTATAAAGGCCACACTTTACGATGGTGAACCATCAATACTTCCAAAAGTTCATTTTATCATGATATCATCGATATAAAGTCAGCAAGTGTCTGTTTTCGCGGCAAAACTGATCTCATTTTCAGAGCAGAATTTTTACGTCACGTGACGTGTGTGGTTGAAACAAATTGCCGCGAAATACGATTTTGTAAATAAAAATGTAATCCTGGCTTTATATCTTAATATACCGTGTTTTGTTTGAAAATTTCACAAGCTTTGTAGTCAAAATAACAAAAGGGATGTTACATGTATTTGTGCTAAAAACAAGATAATAAGAGCTTCCTAAAATTGGTTTTAGTACAACTTTAAGAAATCTAGCATTTTGAGCATTATGAACCAACGTTCTGGCCAGCATTGTGGTATAACTCCGCCAAAAGTAGTGCGAATGTTTATGGCTTATAAGGTTCCTCATCCATTTAAGGTGGTTCTGCATGTTCGGCATATGTTTTCTAACATATAACTTACATTCGATTCATTGTCTAAATCTTTCGGATTGCAAAGATATACTTAGATTTTTGGCTACTGAGCATTGATAAATATTCTATAGCCAGGTATAAAAAGATAAAGGTCAGTGACCTACATTTAATACTTTTAAAAAGTAGGTCAATGATTTAATCTTCATGCATTGGCATTATTCACCCGCATGATAATCTAGAGTATACACTTATGTACAAATGATATGTAGACTCAAATGATATGTAGACCGTGTATGGATTGTAAGCTAGTGACAAACAAGCAATAACAAATTAATTCTTGATTGATATGTATCACATTTCCATGTGCCCCTTTATATCATAAATATATATCTAGAATACGCATATCAAAATCAACATATGTTCATTAAAAATATTTGTTAAGTTTTGTTGTGAAAGAGCTGAACTACACTAGCATCTTGAATTCTGAGTTTTAGTATTTTTTGTTCATTTTATTCGTCCTTTAAGGTCAATGGCACGACGGAAGAAATTGTTACTTACTCTCAATTCCGACAGTATGTTATTGCTATAGGCAGTGGTTTACTGAGACATGGAGTGAAACAGGGAGACATAGTTGCCATGTACAGCACTAATAGTCCGGAGTTTGCCATGATGTTTTTTGGAGCATTAGCTATGGGTGCGACTGTTACTATGGTAAACCCATTGTATACAGCAGGTACGTATTAGGTACGAAGCAGGCAATATATTTGTTTGTTAAATATTTAATTGTTTGTACTTGAGATATGGTTACACAAACAGTTTAGCACCAGTTAAGCTTAATTGAGACTTTAAGCAATGCACATAATATCGAACGGGAAACATGTACGTATAAATCGCCCTATACAAATACATGTAATTTTTCACATAAAACAATCGTTCGGTCACAGTGTTTACTTAGTCCGTTACTTAGACTGCACATCATCGTGAACTATGCCATTGATGGTTATACAGCTGGTTTTCTATGATACATATTTTAAACATGTTCGTTTCGTAAGATATTTGAAGGCTAAAACATGTTTGACGTACACCAACTTGAAATTGCAAATCTACCGTTCAAAACACAGATCTGAAACTGATCGGGAATCTGAAGTGGGCTAAGTAGCGCTTGTTTTGTATGCGCGCTACAGTATCTGTATTAATTCATTGGCTTTGCCGTCACGGTTGCGTTGGGGAAAATATCGCTAGCTTAAACTCTCAACTATCTCGTATAGCGTGAAAACAGTTTCAGTAACCATTAAATTTATTTTCAGGGACATATATTTGTGTTTAACCCAAACCCAGGTTGTTTTGGCTGTATTGAAATATATCAAAGAATAGCATATTTTGTAGATGAACTTGAGAGGCAATTAAATGACAGTACAGCTTCGTTCATCTTTACAAACGGTGAGCTTTCTCACAACGTACGCAAAGCTGTGAAACAAATTCCAACAATGAAGGTAATCACCCTCATTTATTAACGTGAGAATGCACTTAGTATTTTGATCGCAAGCAAACTGTTTTCTAGCAAATTAAACAGTATGTTAGCAACGCGGAAAATGAACCGATGGGAAAAAGTACATTATCCCAACCAATGTGTCTGAAATGAGGTTGAGTTATACACACGTTACAGTTTGTTTAAGGAAAAATATTACCCGTAGTACTTGCAGACAGTAAAGATAAATGCAATGTCTCCAAAAGGTACTCCCCTGTAATATTCTATACACAGACAAATAAGCAAGCATACATACATGTACATATATGTATGAGCGTTCCGGGAAATTATTTACTACAGAAAATGTACGCAAATGTTGACAAAAACGGAAGAATAAATGAGAATGTGTCTTTGAAAATAGGCAAGTCCAGCATGTACAATTAATTTGCCTTCATATGATTCTATGAATATCACAGGTTCCGCAAAATGAATCGTAGCCAACGAATACCACGATATACAGTGACATTGACATGCCAAAAATGTCTGAATTTCTAGTTCGTGTTAGTGCCACCACTAGGGAGTGGCACATGTTGGTGAAATAATGGTATAATAATGGTAATATATAATATAGAATGTGTTCAATTATTTTATATTCTGTACTTCGGAAAGAAACTTTATTTCATGTTAGGTGATGATGTAAATAGACAAGATGCGAGTATAAATAATCTTGAATTTCGTCAAAATTACATCTAGAAATATGGTTTTGAAAATAGTTTATCATCTTTCAAAATTTAATTTTCTTTGAAAATGTGACATGTTGTAAAACCACAAAAAGTAAAATATATTTTCTTGTGTTGGGCAGATAATATTTTCCTTTACTGGACATATTTTAATTTGTATAACTATAAGATACATAAGGGTAATACTGTAATATGAAAAGTAAACCACTGAAACTGATGAATATTCAAAGGAGTGGTATCGATATGGAGAACTTTTTGAACACACGTTTCTCTTAAACCAGTCATAAAAATAATCTAAAATTTAACACATCGTCAATTTAATGGTCATCTTTTGAATGGTAACAATATAATTTGAAAAATATATATATACTTTCATCTATATTGTTTTAAAAAACACATCAAACACTTGTTTTGTTCTTGGTATCATGTTTCCAGAGTGAAATGAAACATCTTTCCGAACCTCGTTGGAACAAAACGACATAAACACAACATGTTTAGGTCTCTCAATAGTGTAATTGTACAAAGGAAATTTTGGTTGATTTTAAAAAAGTATCTTGTTAATGAAATAAAAGGTTTATCTTGATTTTTTCTATTTTGGGGGATTTTGTTTTAATTTTTTTTAATACTTTTTTAAAATCAACCAAACATTTCTTTGTATAACTATAATATTGAGAGGTCTAAAAACATGTATTGTTCCAACAAGGTTCGGAAAGACATTTTATTTCATTCTCAAGAATTGGTAGAATGGAGCAATTGTTTATGTTAAAAAAACAAAAAATGTTAACAAAAACAGTTATATAAAATATTTTAAAATAATTTTCGCATTAAATTGTTGTCAATCAGTCAACATTACATAAAATACCGTGTTTTTACAGAATGTTCTCAATGATTGGTTTAAGAGAAAACCATTGTTGAATTCAGTTCTCCATATCGATACCAATCCTTTAAGGGAACTTTGTAATACCCTGTCATGTTAATTCCCCAAAATCAGCCACCTGGTGGCGAAACTGGTAACTACCTTCTACTTACCTGAGTAATTGGGGCACGATCAATTTTATGTAGATGGACAGGTGAAACAGTTTTAACAATTTCAAAGATATTTAAACCTCACTTATAAGAACTATCTTAGATATTTTAGTGAACATAGGGCCTATGCAATTTGACTGTAGACGCGCCTAAATAAATAAATGAATAAATAATTGAAAATATAATATACATTTGTGTGCTTGATCAACACGTAACTTTGTTCCTCGGAAATGTATGTTGACATTTCATCGTATGGTATGGTTAGCAGGCCTTTTCTTAACCCAAAATAAAAAGTATGGCAATATGTTGCTTGAATAAATCATTTAGTAGTGGCTATTATTAATACGAATGTGACAGAAATTGCGCGAACCGTTGAATTTTGTAATTATATTGCAATTGAGTATTCAAATAACTTTATCAACGACAAACAGTGGATGGTATCAGCCAAACCCTGTTCCTGTTTTTGCGACTTCGACATGATAATCCATGGTTTGAATGTTAATCGGTAAATGTTGTCGCACATTATGGAATCAATTAATTGCTTCAACTGTTAATACCAGTTGATATATAAAGGCAAATAAGGGGCAATATTTGAAAATCAAAAGATGAAAAGTCAGATGAAACACAGACAAATACAACAGTTACAGTATATTTGAAAAATGATTTTTTTTAGAAATTAATTAAATGAAACAAACAGCTGAAAGTTGCACTCCACATACGAATACTTTCGTACTATAGCCCTATAGGGTGAATCTACAAATCATGTTTTCTGCAATTGTCTTGTTCATTTTGAAGATACTTGACAAGATACAAAACTTGATATGCTCTCCCTGGAGATAACTGATAGTAATAGTTCGAATTGTATATTTGATTAAGGCAATATTCTCCCTGGGATTATGTGAAGGATTTATTGCATTCCAAAGCCTATGTGAAGATGACGGGAGTCTCCTTGATGCACCTCGTCACATGCCTTCGAGCAGCGTTGCGGTTCTACCATACTCAAGTGGCACAACCGGTCTCTCAAAAGGAGTTATGTTGACCCATCGGAATCTTGTTGGAAATATACTGCAATATAGGAAAGTATCCTTATCTAGATAATAAGGACTTAAAGTCGTCAGTTTAGCCAATATTATGACGGTTAAATGGTATAACAGTGCAGACAAAAACAAATGATTCTTTTTAATCGAATGTTAAGACTTCATGTGTTTTGAAAGGTTGTGGAAAATATGAGACCCTTACGTTGTACATCAAACTCTCCTTATACCTCATTCATAACCAGAGGTATTAAATGATTCGACATGTTCAAAGATACCAATTATAAACTTACATTTTTTAACCTTCAAATTCAGTTTATGGTGTGTCAAAATGCTCAAAATATATGAATTATTGCTAATCAGATTGAATTGGGGAGATTGATGCATGATGGCAGTTTGGAAGTCAGATATCCTCGTTTTTCAAAATAACTGTTATAATGGTTTATCCGCCATCTTATTAAAGTAAAGCTATGTTTCAGCTATAACCAATTCGTGGTTGATCCGAAACCTCATGCGGACGTAATGCTTGGCCTGCTACCGTTTTTCCACAGTTTTGGGATGACAGCAACCATGTGCGTTGGTATGGCACTCGGGGTGAAGGTCGTTACCATGGCGAAATATGAACCACAGAGAATGCTTTACTTAGTGGAAAAATATAAGGTAAATTTAGTATATGCCCGGGTAAAGTTTAATTGGGTGATATTGCAAGTCACCAGTATTCAAGGTGTAAAATCTAAAAAATGTTAAAAGCGTAGTATTGTTGCTGTCATTAAACAAAAACGTTGTGTTTTAGAGGCATTGACAGTTAATAGGGAAATAATGAAATTGCTAAATTGCCTATATTCTTATAGCTTACCAATTTAAAGTAATACAGTATACAATTATTGACCTCTCCAGAGGTTTACTGTCAAAATTATATCCCGAGACTGTAAACCGAGACCTATCTTAGATTTTTCTGACCCTTGAAGTTGACTTGAAGTTGGATCCAGACCCTCGAGACGTTCATGTTGTATTTCAGTATATCGGCAGTAAGTTCACTCAATGGAGTCAAATTACTCTCCTGGGCGAAGTCCACTAAATAGTATGCGCCAAATCGCTTCCAAAGTGGCTTAGTTAGTCTAAACCGATGTTGAGGTAGATTACTAAGAAGTGGCCCATTGTCATTATAGATTGGTTCATTGACTTTTCATTTTCACTTGTCTGCAGTTAAAAAGGTGACACGAAAGGGCTAAACGGCTTGCCCCAAGGTGCAACCGTCAAAAATATGTGTTTGAAAAAAATCATGTTTTTCAAATAATAGCAGTGAGTATATGAAATAGGAGGCATATTTGATATTGATATGTATGATAGTCTATTTGGGTGTGGTCATTTTTATTAAAAACAATAATGGTGAAGAATTATATATTGCTGACCTTGAAATGCTATTTTAATTCAAAAGTCACTGTTGCTAATGATAATATTCCTATTTTACTTATTCAATGTTTTGTAAATGTTTCAATTACCATTATTTTAATTTTTGGCAAAGTAAATAATTATAGGGGTCACACAAGGATCAACTTTATTTACGACTTTTTCATATTTAGTGATGATTTAAAAAAATAATAAGTATAACACAATTTTATTTGTTAAATATTAAATAAAATGATGGTATTGTGTTTGTTTCATTGTTTCAACTAAAAATCGCAATTCATTGCTCTTGCTCTTAGAGCTGCATGCCATATACCAGTACAAAAAGTCTTCAATAAAGTTGATCCTTGTGTGAGCCCTATGATTATTTACTTTGCCAAAAATGAATATAACGATTATTCAGATATATAAAAATCCTTTAATAGGTTAAATAGGAATACAATGATTGACTTTTGAATAAAAAGGCATTATACATGTACACATATATGTAGTTGTTGCAGTAAAATTACCACACCAAAGTGGACTATCTTTCCATATTAATATCAAATGGGCCTTCTATTTGCATTTTACTGAAATTATTTGTAACAAAAGTTTATTGTGGTAAAGCAGGCTGTGATTTTGATACTTTTTTAGCTTGCAGACAGTGATCATCTTGAGAGAGAGAGACAACATCTTGTAGTAATGGGTGTAACAGTGATGAGGCAGGAATTGATTTTATAAATGCAACTTTTGACAATTCCATTCTTGATGGTTTATCTAACAGTTAGCCATTTTGTCCAACATTCTGCTTGGACGCCAAATTAAAAGATACCGATTTGCATCACATCAGTGAGTGATACCTGTAGCAGCTGCACTAGACTGATATGCAACAAGATATATGTGAGCTTTCATTGCAACATTTACATTTAGAACAGTTTTACTTAGTCTGATAGAAAATTAAATAATTGAAGTATATTTCTTTGAGTTTATTCAATTTGAACATTACTTCTACAATACAGATACCTTCGTTTTGAAACATTAGCAACAATTTTATTTTTAAACGGTCAGTTTTCATTTTTGTTCATAAAAAGTGTATTCTACAAAAGTCAAGGTCATTTCAAGGTAAATGTCAATATTTAGGTAGTTGGCTTTTTAAGATACCTGGCCGTTGATTTGACCCTCAACAACCAATGATTAGGTAACCTGAAGTCAAGGTTTGAATGGATCAAGGAAATTTCAAGGTCAAAGGTCAATATCTAGCAAGTCGATGTGAGAACAATCGTGACCTTTGCCGACCAATGATAAGGTGATTTAAAGCTGATTTCAGAGTCAGAGGTCAATATCTAAATATTTGGCATTTTGGGGATGCTGCTTCATGTGAGGACCCATTGATATGTGTTCTGAGGTCAAGGTCATTCCTACAAGGTCAAAATCTCTGTATTTGGCGTTTTGAGGCCCTGGGGGCTGCTATAACCCTTGGCAACTCATGCTAAGGCGACATGAGGTCAAAGTCAATATCTATGGTTCAAAATTATAGTAAGGTCAAAGGTCAATATCTAGGTAGTTGGCTCGTTTGAGGCTACACTGACATTTGATCACCAATGATAAAGTGACCTGAGATCAGTGTCATTGTTATAGGTCGAGGTCAGAGATCAATATCTAAATATTTGGCGTTTTGGGCGGCTGCTGCACTTGACTCCATTGAAACGTGACCTGAGGTAAAGGTCAATCTAAGGTCAAATTTCAATATCTTAGTGTTTGGCGTTTAAAGGCCACAGGGGCTGCTGTCGTGATGTGACCCTTGGCGACTCATGATAAGGTGACATGAGGTCAGTCATCATTTAATGGTTCAATTCAAGATCATCTCAAGGTCAAGATCAGTATCTAGGTTTTGGTGTTTCAAGGCACTCGGGGATGCTGTGACGCTTGGTGACCCATTACTAGGCGACTTGGGGTCAAAGTCATAACTGATGTGTCATGTCAATTCAAGGTCAAATGTCAATATCTAGGTATTAAGCCTTTTAAGGCCTTTGGGCTAGTTCATCTCATGCATCAGAAAAGGTCAAAAGTCAATAGCCAGGTATTTGGAATTGTATTTAAGGCCATGTCGGGCTGCTGTGACCGACTCGAACAGTAGATAGCTAGTATTATTAGAAAGATACACAAGCATATGGCGGGAGGGTGGCAAAATCGTCTATTTACTTTAATATGCAAATATGGCACTCTGTAAGGACCCGAGGGTTCCTTCGGGGAGTTGCGTGGTAACGCTCTGTGTGGGAACCAAACCTAGTACCTTCTAGTCTAGATTCTGATGCTCTACTGCCTGAACTAGCAGCCACGTTACAATTCCATTAAAAAGAAAACATGGACCGATATTGTTTTGTTTAGATAAATATGTCAAATCAATTTTCTACTTCAATTCGGTTAGAGCAATATATTTTTTCAATTGACATTTCAAAAGTAATAGTCGATCATTTCTGTTTTATCATGTCAATTTTAATAAAATTTGCCAATTCGAAGTAAAATTATAACAGAAGAGAGGTTATCCAAATAGACTGCACTCAGTAATCTTCAGTCAAGCTAACGAAATTTTTCATGAAAGAGTTACTTTCTGTTGTGGTTCTAAATTGAATAAGTATAAGCAGGTGCGTTTTCAAAAATGCAAATTTAAAGCAAATTTCGCAAAATTTAGTTATTGATATGTAGAGATAGTCCATTAGGGTATGGTTATTCTCTTAAAAACAATTATGGTACAAATTTGGTACTTCTGAATATATAATGCTTTTTTATTCAAAAGTCAATTATATTATTCTTATTTTGACTATCAAATGGTTTTTATATATCTGAATAATCATTATATTAGTTTTTGGCAAAGTAAATAATAGTAGGGATCACACAAGGATCAACTGTATTGACGATTGGTCTTACTGGTATATGCCCTGCCGCTCTAAGATCAAGAGCAATGAATTGTGATTTTCAGTTGAAACAAGGAAACAAACACAAAATCATTTTTTTGTTTAACATTTAACAAATAATTTTCTGTTAAACGTAGTAATTTTTCAAAACATCACTAAATATGAAAAAGTTGTAAATAAAGTGGATCCTTGTGTGACCCCAATTATTATTTACTTTGCCAAAAATGAATATAATGGTTAGTGTAATATATAGAAAACATTGAATAGGTAAAATAGGAATATAATTAATAGCAACCGTGACTTTTGCATTAAAATGGCATTTTAATGTCAGAAATGTATAATTCTTCAATATTATTGTTTTTAATAAAAATGACCACATCCAAATGGACTATCATACATATCAATATCAAATTTGCCTCCTATTTCATATACTCGCTGCTATTATTTGAAAAAAAAGATTTTTGTCAAACTCATCTTTTTGATGGTCGCACCTTGGGGCAAGCCGTTTAGCCCTTTCGTGTCACTTTTTTGAGTGCAGACAAGTAAAAATGAATAGTCGATGAACCAATCTATAATGACTATGGGTCAAATCATAGTAACCTACCTCAACATCAGTTAATGGGATTTTCTGGAGTTTTGGCGCACACTAAAAAGCTTTGTACAAAGTTTTAGATTTTTCATCGTATTTTGACTGTCTTTACTCTCTAAGAGACTAATAATATCCTCATCTTCAACATTTTTGAAACGGCTAGTGCTAGCGGCTGCCATTTTATCGTCTGATAATGACGTCATTTTAGTGGAATGCTGGGAATATTATTCACCGGCAATGCATTGCGCGGTGTACAGTTAAAATTATTCACCGCTCGTTGACCAATCAAAATCGAGTATTTCAACTGAGGTACTAACAAAACAGATTAGATGTTAGTTCAACCTATATACAGTACATAATAAATACTGAATCCCAAATCACAATGGTAACATCGTTTTACTGACCTTAGTTGTGTTTTGGCCTTCACAGTTCAGCGTTATCAACAGAAGATAAAACTCGAATACGTTGTTGGGGATTCCCTAGTCAACGTTCGTGTGATAATATTCAGAACGAGGCTATGACCTGTGAGTTATTGCAATGGAGAGGTTAGGATACTTTTTTAATATGTTCCACTTGTTTCTGACGGTTTTCTAAACAATCACTAAATCTCTTTCTTGCAAAAGAATAACTATTATATCAGAAACACATAATGAACACACGACACATAATTGTGTAACTACTATGTACAAAATACGAAAATAAAGATTTTCAAAAGTAGGTCAAATTTTCTACCAAGTGTACATGTAATATGCAAGATTGCTCTGAACGAAATGCAAGAAAGTGTGAAACAGACCTAGATTGCCGACGTCATCAAGGTTAGTGCACAATCTGAACTGAACGATGAGAAATCAAATTCAATGTACCCATTTTAATATGAGAAATCTCCGATATCCTTCAGTAATATGGGTTGAATATATCCTAGTATCAATGTAAAGAAGGAATTATTTTTGCACAGCAGCACATGATGAATCACCCCAAGGGGTGCTCTCAATTCTATACCGTATAATATATATACATGTATATGTTGTGTTTGATATGACATTATGAGGAAATTAATCTAAGTGAATGTGGTTATAAACATTAAGTGTAAGAAATAAAATACACATCGCACATGTGCCAAACTAATGAAAATGAATGCTCTGGATTGTACACATTCTCCCTCTGAATTGAATATTAACTCTCATTTCCTCACTCATAGTTTATATATTCTAATAATTTTTTTTCATTTGAAGCCAGCTCATTCTTAACAAAACTAATTCTCCTATTTTGAATTGTACTTTCTCCATTTCTATGTGCATCCGCCTGTTTTGGGGTTGAGAATTCAAGAGGTGAGGGAGTGAATAGAACAGCCAACTTGACAGCCAATGACTCAGATGCGCGTAGATAGTTACCAGTTTAACTTGAAATAATGAAATTGGTGTAATCCAAAATTGACACTATGTACTGATTAGCTTGAATTTTACACACCTTTTATATAATCATGAATAATCCATGAAGTACTAGAACATTTTAGTACAATTATATGTTGACATTTTAAAGTGGATAGAAACATAAAAAGTATAAAATGCACGAACGATAAAAGTTTGTTGGATTCAATTATCTAGTTTATTTGAATAGATATATAAAGGATATGTTACAAGTTTTGAGGGATATCATTTCTATTCATGAATGGATATCGAGCATTTCCACGACGACGACTGGGCGCGAGAATAAGCGATATCCACGTATGGACAACCATGATTACCCGAGAAAGTCATTGGATATCGCAATTATCCTATGGATCCTAAAATGTTACTGCGCGCTAGCTTGAGCTTACATATGTTTACACGTCGTGAAAGTTCACAGTAGATAACAAATTTATAAACATCCAAAAACTCAACTATTTATAATTACCGAACAACTGGATTAATTTTGGGAAAGTGATTGCATTGAAATGTGGAAACTCAACTGCAGGGTATAGGATGAATCAGTTACGTCGTAAGATCGGTTTTGAGGTTTATTCTTGGGAGATGTACAAATCTCCCTTCGGTCCTTACGGTCCCTCAGGCAGATCTGCATATCTCCCTCTAGATAAACCCCATATCCAAAACCTCCCAGTGCATCCCCTATATATCAGTATATCAGTCGGATAAATTTATCTTGTGTTATCTAAAAATTATCTTGTGTTTTTACCATATGAATTTAGTATCCATTCAGATAAATCCATTTAATATATTTTTATTTTAGACCTAAGTTGATTTATACTCCAGTCCTTTCATCAAATTAGCGAAATGCATTCTTGAAATAAAAATGTAACGACAGCTTATGGAATCTGGCCTCAATATACATCTAATTTAGCATTCAGCGAAAATTCGAAGGACGGTTAGATTCTTACATCTGGCACTCTTAGCTTTCCAAAGGTGTATTTGGAACCTTAGTGCAGAAGATGTAATTTAAAAATCGCTAAGGAGCGCATTTAGAGGCTTTATTTTGCTCAAGTATCTTCTTGATAGTGCATGGTATAAATCGGAATCAATGGGAATTTTCAAGGAGACAGTATTCACAAGACACAGCTTGTGATTATTTTTTAAAGAGCGTTGGCGTTGTTAATACACACTTATTTCGATTTGAAACGTTTGTTGACGCCAATGTCACGCAATCTTTTAGATATAATCAATTTACAAAGGGTTCGCGAATTGAACATGCACGCAGAAGGAATGTATACGTCTAATCAGATGTACATGTATGCAAACACAGAATATGGAAACGTGGACTAAGAAACGTATTTATGAAATTTAACCCCGATTTGAAAGAAGATAAATTATTTAAACTGTAAAGAAAACGTTACCCGGAACACCGGTGTCAAGGTCAACTTCCTGGGCCAAAGTCAAAGGCCATCTTTTTATTTAGCGGTTTAATTCATTTTGGGGCAGTTGTGACCCTTGGCGACCCAGTATTAGGTGATCTGAGGTCAAGGAAATTTTTAGGTAAAATGTCAATATCTAGGTAGTTTGTAATTTAAGGTCCTTGGGCTGATGTGACTCTTGGCGACCCATGATTAGGTGACTAGGTCAAGGCCAATATCTAAGTATTTGGCGTTTTAAGGCACTTTTTTGAAGGATACTGTCACCCTTGGCGACTCATGATTTGGTAAAATGAAGTCAAAGTCAATGTTTATGGGCCAAACCAGGCATCTCAAGGTCAAAGGTGAATATCTAGACATTCGGCGTTTCAAGGCCTGTGGACAAGTTCAAGAATCAATCGAGGTCAAACGATCAATATTCAGGTATTCAGCATTTTATGGGGAGTGCTGCAATGTATGGGCTGATGTGACCATTGGTGGCCCCCTCAACAACATGTGTCCCCCTGGACTTACATCCTTACCGACCAGGGTTCCTATCGATTTTGGTCCGGGGGATAATCATCCAAAGGTTACTGCATTATTACACCGGATTTTTTACAGCTTTCCCTTACTTTCAAAGGATCAAGTTGAGAAGTGTGAATCTCACTAAATAATGATTTTAATTTCCATTATCTCCTCTATTCTATGCCTGATAACGGCCTGATAAGGCGAAAGATAGCTCTAGAAATTGGATGGTTTTGGAACAAAGAGGCGAGCTTCAATAAATTAGCTCCAACCTCTTTAAACCAAGTGGAAATTGACAATATTTATATTTATTCTTAAACCATGGAAACTTTTTTATTCCTAGATAACTAGTTCTATCAGTGTCGTATATTTATGGTATTTTAGTTCGAGATGAATATTGAAATACCATTGCACGTATATTGATATTTTATTCTAGATAACTATTCTCCAGGCAGTTCCACCTATTGTCCTATTTTTGGCTAAAAGTGAGAGTGTGAGTAAATATAACTTATCCAGTCTCCGAGTCATACAGAGTGGCGCTGCACCACTGGGAAGTGATACAGAACAAGAAGTCATGAAGAGGCTGCCTACATGTGTGGTTATACAGGGTGAGTGTATGGATACTTAAAACAATTGATCACTTCTTCACACTAAGTTTAAATTCCCAAATGAAGTATATTATTTGTAAGAAGACAATCAGATCTCACTTTTTATCTAATTTACTCGGATGTCAGGTATGCTTCTGTAGCCAAAACAACAAAAATGTGTGATATCGAACAACCACATCGGATTATAATACTATTTGCTTTAAAAGCGTCTTTCAAGACATGTTAATGAACAGAAAATCGTTAAACAGTCATTGTTTTAGAATGTTCTTCATACCACCTTTCCCAATTGCAGAAGCAATTGCCCATCTGGTTTCACGATGCTGAATGAATTTGCTTTGAAATGTTGTATGCCACATTAAATACATTAGTACAGTTTAGTGATCAGACTGGTATCTAGCCAACTCGGACCCTAGTTAACTCTGCGCCTAGTCAACTCGGACTTTAGTTAACTCGGACCCAGTTATATTCAATATAAATCAGAGGTATTTTGCTATGTTAGAGGTGAAAGCAATTAACTTTCAAAATATTAAGAATATTGGATTAGTTTAAGATATAATTTAATTCGAATTCATTACTGAAATCTAGAGGCACTATGCCATAGGAAAGCACAATCAAAACCCCTCTGGACTTTTTTGCATGTTGAGTTTCACCACATATATACCCGTCTTCTTACCAAAGAAGAAGTCCCAAATCCCCCTCTTTCAGTGATAATTTTGCGATTGTGCTGGCCGATCTAATTATTTTCGAAGAAATTAATTCAATCTGAAGTTTGAATATACCGGGAAAATCCTCCTGTTATCTGATTGGTCGTTGAATTTGTTTATCATAAACCTGATTGGCTGTCTGTTTCAAGGCGCTTCTGTGACTCAATGGGGATTCCCCTCGCTAGTCGAGGAATCGATTGTGTTTAATTCTGGAGTTTGGTTGTTCTGTTGATTATTTCCGATATTTCGGCAATAATATACCCAAAAGTTATTCTCAAGATATATCCATGGTATGTGAGATATTATATGAGCAATAATAATAGGACATCATTGATTGTCTGGGGGAGTCACCTATGGCATAATGCATCTTTAAATGATGTTTATTTAATGAGTGGGGAATTTGAAATATCATTTGATTTGATACTTTAATCTTTTACTTTCATTAAGGAATTCCTTAAAAATCATGGGCTTTCAATTTATTTAACATGTTTATCCCTTTTAATTTGGTTTGAAGAATTGAGGTCAACAACATTTAATTCACATTGAATTTCTAATTTATTGTCACATACTATTTGTTTGTAAGACAAATTAACTGGTTTCATGTAAAATCAAACTCTTGGTTATTTAATATTTATTCCTACCAGTATATGATTTCACAATCCGGCTGAATGGTTTATGATTGACTCAAAAGTGTCAGAATTATTTTTTACCATTATCAACCATTGTTTTTTCTAACCATTATATGTGATTAATGTTGTTTTTATGTATACCTTATCATTTTAATGCTCAAACTAAGGAAAAATATTAAAAAAATATACACAGGTCCAAGTTGACTAGGAACCATCAGATCGTATTGTGTAAAAGGCAAGATTACCTTCATGGTGTTTTTCTTAGTCATCATCGTTTTTATTACAAGTACCTCGTTGTCAGCTTCGTAACCGTCGATTGTCCAAAAATAACGTTCGATCGATTTGTCACATAAGGATATGGATTGACGGAAACGAGCCCAGCGTGTTTCATGGCCCCGAAGAATTTGATTAAGCCTGGTTCGATTGGAGTGCTGTGCCCAAACACAGAAGCTAAGGTAGTAAAGATTGGCAAATAACTTATTCATATAGTCCCTTTTATGTCTCTACGCCTCACAAAAGAGACAATCTATAATTTGTTCGTACTGAAGTGAACAGTCAGACTATAATTAATGCATTTTCAATTAAATAAGTGCGTAATCCTCTGCTTAGTTCTATGTTTTCATTGATAAGATTGTTGATCCTGAAACAAGATCGACTGTTGGACCGGGTATAGAAGGAGAAGTTTGTTTAAGAGGTTCGCAAATAATGAAGGGCTATTTCAACAACACAGTTGCAACAGCTGCTTCAATCGACACTGATGGATGGTTCTCCACGGGTAAGTTACCACAATATGACCGTTGCTAATCCGTTTATAAATTCCATAACAGTAACTAAATTAAGTACATTGGACAATTATTCAGAGGCTTTTAATCGATTTGGGCACTTAAACTAAGTGCATACGAATGGACATATCAATTGTAATTTACACCTCGGTGTCCAACTCAAGCGACATTGTGAACATGGTTTCAATGTTATCAACCGTTTATTTGTAGGTGATTTGGGATATTATGACGACGATAAACACTTTTTCATAGTAGATAGATTAAAAGAGCTTATCAAGTACAAGGGATATCAGGCATGTAAAATAATTTTAATTTGTTTATTTATTATTTAGACATACACTTTTAAATCAGTGGCACACTAAAAATATTTAGGTGCGTGTACAGTCAAAATACATACATGATCATTAAAATATCGTTTTTATTAAAAATTATAATTACAATGTACATTCCTAATTTGCAAAGGTATGCAAAAGTCACATTTCTTGTGTTTTCATATACCGTTAATATAAAATTTAAAAAGTACAAATCAATTCAAATATTGTTCCTGTTTTTGTTTTGGAAATAAACTAGTTTCGCGGGGTTCATATTGTAACAGACAAAGAGTAAACTGAAAAAAATAATTTCATATTCTATGTAATCGATTTTATCGATTGACATTCCAACAGTAGTTTTTTAATGAAAAACTTAATCAGGAATCTTTTCATTGCCATTTTTAAATCAAACTAAATACAATGATACAGTCTGGGTTTTATAATGGAACGTATTATACATCTTCAGTTTATGCGACGTTTCTACCCTACATTTGTCCCTGATGCTCCACTTAGCTACAAATACAAACTAATGGACAACATAGCTAATATCTGACCAACCGAAATATTTTGGGGGTGCTGTCCTATAATTGTCACACAACTTCTACCAATAATCTTACCAAACATTGTATGGGTCAATAGGGGAACATGGTTAGATCCAGTTGAATTGTTATTGACTTCAGAATTGCGTAAAACATAGCAAAGAGGGTGTTGATACATTCCATCTAATGCTAATATGAGAACATGCCATTTTGCTCAATTTTTCATCAAAATGGCCAGTCACCAGCAGAAAACCTCCAAAATAGCTTTGACCAGCATGAATTAAATAACGAAATTATTTAGTTTTGCAACATTTAGCAACATTTTAGTAGCTTAAATAGCCTACATGTTACATGTATATTACAAAACCTCATATGTACGTATAGCTGTACCTTTTCGTGCTTATATGATATCGCTTGTTGATAAATATACTAAATCTAGGTTGCCCCGGCAGAGCTCGAGGCATTGCTTGTTGCGCATCCGTCAATAGAGGACGCTGCTGTGATAGGAGTTCCACATGAAGAGGAGGGAGAATACCCAAAGGCATATGTAGTACTGAAACCAGGCCATGAAGTATCAAAGGCGGATATCATTACACACGTTAATAGTAAGTTTATTTTATATCGTATTCTGGTAAGTTTATATTATATTAATGTTCAGATATGCAACTTTCAATGTACATTAGTAAATTGCGGTATATTTAAGGAGGTATGATGAAACAATTACTGTGCAGTGACGCAAAAGAATTACCTTGCAGATAGTACTAAATTATTCTTATTAATATAAACAACCAAATTTATTCTAACATGCATGTGAATAAATTAATTGCAATTCACAAATTTCAGGTAAACTTGCATCATTTAAACATATCCGCGCAGGGGTTGAATTTTTAAGAGAGATACCCAAATCTAACAGTGGAAAAATACTAAGACGCAAACTTCGGGTACATGCAAAGAAACAGTTGCAGAGTAAACTCTAGTTGACAAGTTTACATCATTGTACAGGGATGGAGTCGTTAATTAACTATGCGAGATTCAGATTACAACTCAATTGTGATCCTGACGGAGAGCCTCAGTATGTCTGGTCTTCAATGCATGGACTTCACATACATTATGTTTGGGTATTTAAAAAAAGGAAAAACTACAACCACATGGCGTTATTTTAAGCAATAAAGACATTTTTGCCAACCAAGTTTGTACTATAAGGAATGCAATAATAGGATTGCACAATCATCAATTTATAAATTTGTCGACTTATATAAACCACAACTACTTTTACATACAATATTTGGTCCTCTAATGTGATAAGAACTAGTTAGCATTCGCGAATTCAACTGCTGATTGACAATTTAACTACCATTTTATGACCAACTCATTAAAATATGAATAGAACCTGCCACTATCCAATACATATTTGAATGAGCTTGTTAAGCAAACAGCTGGTGGTTGAGTTCGCGAATGCTAGCTTAGTGAATGCTCCTGACAAACGTTTTGCGTTTGGTTCATATTAGGTTAACTGTAGTTGATGACAAGGCAACATAATATGCCTGATAAAACATTTATGCGTCCTTTAAAGACGAAGATCCATGGTAATCAAAAACAAATAAATATAAGCCCGATGAAAATAGAATAAACCACAAAAACTAGAAAACAACAAAACATAATGAAAAATTGACGAGTTTTTAATTCATGATATCCAGTATTCCGTCTTATCTTTGCTTATATGCTTATCTACCCTTCGATTATCGCCAACAAATTTCCATGGAGATGAATCCAATAAAACGATGTAACATACATGTATATACTTCATAATTAACATCATCAATCTATATTTAGCAAGAATAATATGCCTCGACATCATTTTCATGAATCTAATATAACTGTGCACATATTATCATTTTAGGAGTGAACCACTGTCGAGTAAATTAAACAAATGTTCTTTTGCTTGGAATAAAGTACTATCATAGATATAGATGGTGCATGCAATGGAATTGACAATTAAATAATCTCACTCTATCGTAAGCTGCAAAAAAATTCACAAGGGTGAAATGTTATTTTGTATTTTTTGATGTGGTTATTAGCGCTTTTATCATGGTATTTACATTCAGCTTTAAAGGGTGACGCATATCGTTTAGCAAATCGAACGCTCGTTTCTGGTGTTGCTCACCGTTTAGTATAAAAGGCCCGATCCCGGAATAATACTCAAGGGTTCACAGGCTCGAGGTCGTTGTGTCAACACCTCTAACTGTTATATAGCATAAGTAAATTATAGATCGTCACATATTTATAAAACGGTGATTTTTATTTTGACAAATCAATTCCACATTTATGGGTGAAGTTTCAGGATCTTCTATTTGTGTATAATAAGGAAAAATTGACATCTAAATTTCCGCATAACATAATAGCACACAGCTTGGTATATGAAATATAAAGCAGTTCTAATACAAGGATTTATATTGGCTGTTGTACATATTCTTTGAACGCAATCACTCTATGGATAATGTTTTCAAAATCATTATAAACGGATTACTTTATCTCAAAGACAATTTCAATAAACTGGATTTTACAGAACTCCCCTTATTTTTTAAAAATGGACTGAACCAGTCGATTCGCCTGGAGCCGCCATATTGTTTTTATACGGGATGCTTATCGGAACCCTTTAAACACCATGTTGCTCATGGCATTTTTTGAATGCAAACAGAAAGCCAACAGCATGTAATCAATGGGAGAATTAAGACATAAGTTGTTGAGGTAATGTACATGTAGTATGTTTAAACAGAAATGTGAACACTTCAACACGGCGAAATGAATATTCAAAACAGCCCTTAATCAGTATATAGAATACTCCACAAAAATCGAGTAACTGAACAAACTGTTTGACTAATGTGTTATTATTATTATCTAAATTAAATAGTTTTCTTTTAATATACATGTATACGTACGTGTGATGCTCATTATGTATATATAATATATATTTATTATATGTATATATAATAAATATGTATTATATATATTATATATGTATATAACTTTGTACATTAAATAGTAAATCTGTGTTTGCTCAACTATGCACATGTACATCGTATATCGTATATGATATCCCTTTCTCATACAGATAGTTAGTGTGCATGATTGTATTCGTAAAATAGTCAACGAATTAACCCGTTTTCGCGTTTACAGAGTTCAGTAAATCAATACTTGTATTCTTCTGCATCTTCACAATATTTAGTTGAAAAGTCAATTCCAACATCGCTGTCGTCATTGTCATCCCTGTCACTATTCTCAGATGCCAATCCCAACTCGAGTTTCTTTGCGCAACGGTTTAAATATTCTACAACGTTTGGATGATGAAATCTCATCGCATCTTCTATTGGCGTGAAGTTCCATCTGTATACAAACAAAGTAGTTTATAAGTCTAATTGTAAAATTCAATAAACAGATAAATAGATGTAGTTATCAAAAGATGTAGTTTAAACCACAGACACATTCCCTACCTATCACAGGGTAAATGTAGTTTAAACCATATACACATTACCTACCTATCACAAGGGTTGTAAGGAACGTTGCACTTCTCTATGAGAAACTTGACCACACTCAAGTGACCTTCGACAGCCCCAAGGTGCAGGGCTGTTCTACCATCATAGTCCGACTGTTTCATATCCATACCAGAAAGGGCAAACCTGCATTAGGAATTATATTATTAATTTAAACAGGGAACGCGATTTTACATGTTTTATACTTGAAATTTTCATTTGATATCGGCGATTGTGAAAAGCATAACAATACTTGAAATATGAATTCTTCTTTAATTTGTTACTTTACTTTATGATATGTGCCTAAAATGTGGGATGCATTTAGGCACTCGCCTTTAGATTCAAATAGTACAGCGACAGATTCACCAATCGAGGTATGGTCTTGATTTGATTCAAAGGAAATACCCCGAACAAAGAAATAAAATATCAAAATTTTGGAACCTTAATGATGATTACCTCCGCATCGCAGTAATATCTCCAATTGATGCAGCAAATAGTAGATTAACAACTTGGTTTGCTTCAAAATCACTCTTTCTATTTCGAGGGTCATATTTCGTTGTGCTGTGTTTTAGATTGTCATAATTGTGAAACGGAAATTTTAACACAAACTCCTAAAAATAAAACAAAGTACTGTATAGCGCGAATCTGGAAATGTTGTATTTAAGTCAATTCAGACACATGTAGCTAGGTTATAAATGTCTACCCGTTTTGCATTTGCCCATTGCTCATGTCATAACCATACATGTTTGAATACAGGTTGTCCCAAAAGTTTGCCCCTCCCTAGGTTATATTGATTTGCAAAATATCACGGTTCAACTCTCAAATGGGAAGTTACGGTCATTTTAAAATTCAGTCAAAATAAAGTTCAGTTTTACACCACATCTTCCCTTGGCCAAGCAATTCTTTGCAAATATGACCTTACAAAATGCCTTCAAATAGTGGTGTTGAATTTTGTAATCCTCTTAAAACCTTTTTATTAATAAAAGGCACTTTAGAAGAGTTTCTTTGGAGCATCTACCCTCATCGTTCTCTTTTTTCAACTCAATATCAATCCGACCCGAAAAGAATTGTTGCTGTTAACACGGCCAAGGGAGGACACATTTGACTAGTGATTTGGTGTGAAATTGAACTTAATTTTGGCCAAACACTAAATTTTGAAATGCCTGTAATTTTTTTCACATTTGAGAGTTGAACAATAATACTTGGCGAATCAATGTAACTTTACTTATATTAAGCTTTAAATGAAATTGGACACCCTCTATAAAAGGTGGTTTACCTGTGCAAAATGGATTCCTCTTACGCTATTTCCCAAATCATCAAGGGGTGGCGACCAAGTACATATCCCCATAACATTGGGCACTACCATCAATATTGCACCTGCAACGCCAGATTTGGCAGGAAGACCAACCTAGACCGAAGGTAAAAGTATATTTTGTCGGTGAATTTCATAATGATTTTCTCGTAATGGTCATTTTCGAATGTCAGTTTTTGACGAGCGTATTTAATTGTGGTGAGAAAACAATGGCAAATGGGCTTAAATTGACTTCAGATGTGGATATGTACGATACAAAGCTTACATTAGACCTTAAGAGCAGAATGGCTCAATATTGTACCTTAAATGCAAACTGTCCGGAATAATCATACATGCCACAAGAGTGCATCAGGGACAACGTGTTTCTGACAGCTTCTGGGGAGAGAATACACTCTCCAGTAAGAGGACATATTCCACCATTTGCTAATGTGGCGGCCATAACAGAAGCTGATTCTGCAGTGCATTCAATAGAGCACAACTGGAAAAGGTAATTCACATGTTAAAATTGGGTCTCATATGGTGAAAGATCTGGCAATATTCACTGGTCATGCTTATCAAATTGATAAGCATGACCAGTGTATTCACTGGTCATGTTCAGTGTATTAAAATCATAAACAGAGTTTACGTATTAAGTGAATTTATCAATTTTTAGACATTTTAAAATAAAATTGAGGATTATGCCCTTGACAGTAATATAATAAACACAAATATCTCATTCTATTTTCAATGAATACATGTGGCACACTCTCTCAAGATAATATTCCACCAGCCGAGGGCAGGTATAGTATTTGTATAGTATTCACTTGTCATAAGCAAAGAAAATATTCAGTTCTTAAATGTAACGTAATTGTAAACTAAATTGTAATTGTAAGGCTACTTGAGAACGAATCAGACACTTACCTGGAAATAAAACTCCAAGGTCTGGGTAAGAATTGTGCCATCGGGGAAACACTAAAAATTAACAAAAGACAGTATTTACCAAAACCAAACAAGGGACAGGGTGAACAATATCGTACCTTAAATATAGCACTGTGGGCTTGTTGACCCAGACACCAAGATGGGCGCCGAAAACTTACCATCATGTGTAATAATTTGAAGAAATTCAGTTAAGAAGTTAGGCTGTAATCACGATGACAAGATTTTGCCTAAAACAAAATGACAACCAGAAAGTAAGTTGGCCGCCGAAAAGTTAATTAGCTCTAGGAGAAGTCTTTTCTCAACATGTGTAAAAAATTTAATTAACTCTATTTTAAAGTGGCTTACTTGGTATCGACATGACAATATTTATCTAATAGCTTCCTAAATGGCCACCAGAAAGCAAGATGATGGCCACTCAAAACCTAATCAGCTCTAGAACTTCTAACCATGTACTATATAATATGTGTGAAAACTTGAAGTAATTCGATCCGTCATTTGGTTTTCCTGGAATCGCGATGACAATATTTATCTAAAAACTTTCAAACAGCCTGCCAGAAAGCAAGATGGCCGCCAGACGTAATAAACTCTAGAACTGCTTACAATGTAACATGTGTAAAAATTGAACTAATTTTGTTTAGTGGGTTTCTTTGAATAGCGATGACAGGATTTATTTGAAGTTATTATATTTCGCTAAGCTGTTTACCTGGAATCGCGATGGCAAGAAAAGTGGCAATAAAAGTGTTTTTAACTTTGGCGGTCTATGTTTTGTATATTTGAATGTATTAACATGAATAAAGAAGAAAAAAAGAAAAGTGAGACGCCTTTCATCCGCCGATAATGCCCCCGAAATGCTGATGACAGTATCGTACATGTTTTAAGTACGATAAAAACTTAAAATGTGAGTTTATGTTTAGACTAATAAGGCTGACATTTTAGAGGTGAATATCCTCAGCCCTATTAAGCTTATTAAATAAGTGTTTTTCAGGTGTCATTGTATTTTATTGGTGGTAAGAAACCCAATAACTTACTCCGTTTTCCCGCATGTAGTACCCCAATGCGAAGTTCCTATCAGCCGTTTCTCTTTCTGATAGGTATCTAAAACAAATAATTATAATTAGCTGTAACTGTACCTCTAATCATAACTTGAAAATCTATCAATCTACTAAAACATTATTTTGCAACTAGGTTCACGATGTGAACGAGTTTGCACCAACATCGAAAAGGTATTAATCTTGAATTTGATACTCTCTCACATGTGTTTCAAATTGAAGAAAATCCGACGAATAGTTTCTCTGGAATGGTGATGACAAGACTTCCTGAAAATTCCTGGTAGAAAACAGGATGGTAAAAAACTGTTGAACTTGGTACCATCTAACGTGTGCCTTTTAACAAAAAAATGACGACCAGGTGGTTTTTCCAAAATGGCAATGCCAAAATCTATAAAAAATCATCATAAATGGCTACCATAAAACAGAATGGGCGTATACATTGTACGTACAAAGATGATAATCCCACAAACCGTTTTTTGCAATTGCTGACAAGAAATCTCTAAAATCGCTGCAAGAAAACAAGAGAATTGCCTAAAAGTCAATGAATTAATTTTGATGCATGAGTACAAATCCGACGATCCGACATTTCCTAGAATCGCGATAATAATATTTTTCAAAAACATCTAAAATGGCTTCTAGAAAACAATATTGTCACCATCATATAATAGACATATACACGGAGGTGTTTTGACATGACTACCCCTGTTTCAATATTTTCAAAATGTTAGTTGGCTGTCCTGTTCACTCCACCTTCTCGTATAATAAACCAACTCATTGTCTTCTTTTTAAAAATAGAATATCTAGACATGTGATAATATTAGCTTTAGAGGGAACAGCCATCTAGAAGTAAAACTGGATGGAGGCCAGATGTCAAAATGGCCTGCCTGCCTGAAGGTAAGAACAATGATTAAACAAGATAAACACAAAAATGGTAAAAAAACATGGTAAAGGAAAACGAAACAAAAAGTGCAACCTGATACACTAAATCAAGTCTAAATATTCAAATCAATTGCAAGGTGTTCTGCTCTGCGATAGTTCACCGTGAAAACGTCGTATTATTCATGCATAATCAAAGGCCTTTTCAAAGATTTCAGATTTCTAACTAGTAACTTTCATTTTCTCTTATATGTGACATTATTCAACATCGTTACTCTCAAATTAAAATTACTTACGTTGCATTACTGAAACTAATAAATTCTCCCCCAGCTAGTCGTCTGTACTGATTCTGAGCCTATGAACAAAGCAGTTTGAATTAACGAATCATTATTACATTCATGTTTATCAAAACAATGTAAAATGGACACACATAATATTGTGAAGACAATCTCTTTATTCATTAGCAAATGAGTATAAGTTGTCAAAATAGTAATATGATTCTACAGAGAGTAGGGCGTCCGTGTCGCTGTCAATATAACTGATCATAATGAATAAAGGATTATTAGCATGTGAAGCATGATCGACCATTGTATAGGTCGGTTAATTAAATATATGTGTGGGATTCAACATATCTCTAGTCAACATAGTGAATTCTGTGAATTATTTAATTTAGAGCCTAAAAGTACAGCAAAAAGAAAGAGCTCGAGAAAACAGCATTCTGTTCCATATTTTAATTTCAGCAATACTAAACTTACAAAATCAAATCGATCTGCAATCTGTTTATTTGGTTTCAGCAGCGACGCAACAAGTATGGCCCCTGCATTAATCATTGGGTTGTGTGGCTTCTCTGTAAAATAAGCAGCCGCACACATGTCATATTCACTATTATCACTGAAACGAGTATCTAAATTGATTAGCATGCCTGTACAAACATTAGTGATTCGGACGTAAATTCAAAAATAGTTCAAAAGACAGCCAACGGAGCAAATTGATGCCACTGGATGCAAAATGGCAACCAATGAAAAAAATAAACAAAGAATTTATTTCTGGACTTACTTTTTTGATCTAATGATAACTCGTTAAAGCTTCTTCCACTTGGTTCTTGGCCCACATATCTATGTACCTCCTCAGCGCCAAGGTCACTCACAGCAAGTGAATAATTGAGAGGCTTGGAGCATGATTGGAGACAGAATGGAATGGTACAGTCACCAACACTGTGTCTGAAATCAATTACTGAGATGTGAGTAGGTAGTTACCAGTTTCGCCACCAGGTGGCTAATTCGGGGGAAATTACATGACTGGGTATTACCATTCTCATACTCAGACCATCTTTGCTATGCACAATAATTAAATTCTAGAGGGAAACTGAGAGAAAGCTGTTATATCTCACGATGGGGTATTACACAGTTCCCCTAAACTTGAACAATCATCAGTTTTAGTGATTCGCTTTTCAAATCACCGTTATGTATCTGATACAGAGTTATACAAATTGAAATATTTCCAGTAAAAGAAAATATTACCCGCCCAACACAATAAGAGATATTTCACGTTTTGTGATTTTACAACATCGGGTCTGTGGGGAATCTCTCCGACCAAGAAGTCACGTTTTCAAAGAAAATTATTATTGATAAACTCTTTTCGAAACCACATTTCTAGATATAATCTTACATGAAGATTCCAAATATGACATCAGATTGACTGAATTTTGAGTTTTTAATGACCTTAATCAAGATTATTTCTACTCGCATCCAGTCTATTGCCACATCAGAATAATTCGATCTATCAACAAAGTGAATTCAAATCATTTCTGAATAACAATCATTATGTCTATCAAGAAGAGAACAGATCTGTCTATCCTTTCTTTTTAAAATCTTGGCCACTTTTGAGAACTAATAAGGAAACTACGAAGTATTGGCTAGATTTATGATGTCATTCTTTGCAGACAGTAATGTTTCTGAATAGAGGTTTAGCAATACGTAAATCCTAGTTCTGCATTACTGTAAGAATGACATTGTATATGTTAATGTAACTGCTTTCAAATGTTTTTTCAATGAATAAAAAAGGAATAAAAAAAGAAAGAATGACATTAGAACAAAACCGGATATGATTCATATATTTCTAATAAGGTAATTTATCCTATGCCAAGTAGAGTTTTAGGGAGAGAAGTTGGAAAGATATATCCCGTATCCTGATTTTGAGGTTTACATATCCAGAACCTCCATATCTCCCGCCATATATCTCGCTTCGGTGCATATCTTCCCGCTTCGCTGCATATCTTCCCGCTTCCGGTAAGTAGTGGAAATGCAGTAAAATGACTTTGCATATGAATGATTTGTTTATTTTTACACCTTGTACTATTGAAATGGCCATATGCCCCTGAAAACTCTACTTGGTATAGGATAAAGCAGTTATGTACGGTCGGTTTGGATATTGGGTTCATCCCTCGTGAGATATGCACATCTACCTTCGGTCCCTACGGTCCCTCAGGTAGATATGCATATCTCCCTCTGGATAAACCCCATATCCAAAACCTCCCAGTACATAACCCTTATATATATAGCAGAAGTAGTAGTCTGTTGCACCGACATATATCCTGCGACCAGACGACGATAACCTAGACTAAAACTCGGCCACTACAATCGCCACCTAACGTGTGAGGTAACGTAAAAGGGGCACAATAATCGATTACTACACATGCGCGGTTTTGATGAAAGTATAGAGTAACTAAAATTGGCTTTATCGTATGAAAATACCGTAATTTTCTCACCTCTGACCATCTATGGTGCACACAGAAACACCCCAATACTTTGGACTGTATCTTGACAACTGTGGAATATAGTCTGCTACCTAATAATTAAAAGTACATGGATATTGAGTGTCTTCAATTATTGTCCCTTTTGAATAAGTGTTTCTTCTCATTCCAGAGAGACTTGACTGAAATTATGATACATTTTCGCTGTGGAGATTTCCACGTATTTCAATGAAATAGATGTCACGTATAAGACATTTAACTAAATGCCGATTAGATAGCAAGGAAACATCCTTGGCATTGCTTTGAAAGCAGTGATTGACCGATGTTGAAGGATGTCATGAAAAGGGTAATGTAAGTCTATGATGTCCTCTGCGGCCCTTGTGAAATACCTGGTTCAAGATCCCTTCATGATGATCGTAAATTGATATACTTCTCGTATAGAGTGTACTATGTCTGAACTTCTTATATTATATCAGAGATAAAATTATGGGTGATTAATTAAATCTTTACAGTAAAGTATCAATTACTGCATATGATATATTTTATTCCATTTTCGATTTGCATATTGTTTTTGTCAACCCTTTAGCCCAATTCGTAAAAATAGGACGTGACGACGCAAGGCAATATGTAACATATACACTAATATTTTACAGTGTAACAAAGACCGGATAAGACACCCACCTTGCCTGCGTTCTTTTCTTTTACTTTCTCATAAATTTCATCCACGTGTTTGGCAAACTCAAGAAAATCAGGGATGACAAATTGATTTTTAAACGCCTTTCCAATCAGAACAATGTTTGCTTGTGTGCACCTAAAAACATAATAATTGTGAATTGTATTTTGAAGGTAGATCTGATTGAAAAGAAAATGCAAGCGTTTCATTTCTCGTTGCAAATTAGTACTTTACTGTGTATTTCATGACGAATATCCTTAGAATAATACAATTAATTTCCTTTATTGCTCTTCCTAAACCAAGTTAATTGATCATCAACCAATATATTACTTCTTGAATGTTTCCCTGTCAACTGTCGCATCTGTACAATTAGTTTCCTCATACATCAATTCTTGTTTGACATCTTCAAAGTTTTTGCGACATTCAGCAAGGCGAGGATCGGATTCACGTAAGCCAGTGCAATTTAATGCCTGTTGAGAAATAACAATTCTGATAGAGGGATGTACGTCATCAACAATACAATAGGGAATATAAAACACTTATAACGAGAAACCATCGTTAAAATAACGAAAAGATATTGTCTAAATGCATTAGTAGTGCCTGTCGTAGAATTCGGGGAATAATGGTCACGACGTGAGAAAACTGAGAAAGAAATTAAACTCACCTGCCAAAATCTTGATATGGATATTTTCTGATTGGAATCAAATAAAAAATCCAATGTGTTTTTAATGTCCTTTTTACCATCATTTTGTTTAAATTGTTTCAAAAAACGAGCAGTAGCTTTAGCAAATTTCATGCTTAGCATGTAGACCCCTACTCCTACTGTAACAACAATTTTCAAATAAATGAGTATAACTTCAAGTTGTATTGCTAAATTAATTATATGTGAAAATTTATCTTAACAGACATACCGCCCAAAATTTTCCGATAGCTACACGGTCATCTTTGTCACATAACAGGTCAAACAGAACGTCTTCAATGTCGTTTGGTCTCTGAAGCTGGCTTAAGCGCAATTCACTGTAAATAAATTGATGGCTTGAATTAATCATCCAAGTAGCGTTTGATGAATGATGAATGTATTAAAAATAAATTAGCGAAGAAATCATTTTAGCCTATACTGGAACAAAGCAAAGCAGAAGGATATCAAAAATAGTTATTTATCTCCATTATGATACATTATTTAGTGTTAAATAAAATGTAGTAATCAACTTATTAGATAATGGGATTATGTTGGAGATATATCAGCATAGATGATTCTGCAATGATAATTAGATTCATTGATCTATAAATGTTAGTTGGTGCATTTTTTATACTTATACGTCCATACTTTCGTTGCTGATGTTCCGCCTAAAATAAACACAAAACGAGCTAAGTATGAGGTTGATGATTTTAATTATATAAATTCCTCTGTTCGGGATTTCTGGTTGACAGGAATGACAAAGACAAATGCATATGGTGATCGCGAATATTTTGAAGAGTCAAACGGTTCCATAACTATAAGTTGCAATACTTGTCAAATATTTGATCGTCAAATTCTTCCCCCAACGCTCAGTAAAAGAATTCAGTACTTAGCACCGAGTCTTTGTTTATTCCTAACAGTCCATAATTATACTGCATACTATCTTAACTTGTGCCGCATGTTTTTGTAAAATTTCAAATAAATTAATAAAGTGTACTTATACCATGGTCAATGACAGATACTTACCAAAAACTTGGCAAACGTGATAATCTGCGACGAAATGCGGCACGCGATGGCGATGGTTTATTCGTTGTTGGTGATTTGGGTGGTGGCGATTCGCATCCTGTGCTATTACCAGAAGATAAACCATTTGCTAAGGTAAGCCCTTCGATTGTTAGTTGTTCAGTAGGTGGATTTGAATCTTTCTTCAACTGTTTGAAATGATCGAGCATTTCAAGTTCCATTCCTTGTACGAAGTAGGGCGATTCCGTATTTTTTCGTACTTTGATGAGGATATCAGACAGTCGTGTGTCGCTCTTTGCTTTCAATGCGTGTGGTATGGCTTACATGGCATGGAACTTTGAAGATGGTTCTCGTTCACAGGTTTGGCTCAATTAAAATAAGAACCGGTCAGAACTGGATTTAGATAAAAATTAACTGATTAATTAAAACTACTGTCACTGTCAGTCAAGTAGAAAATTATGCTGTCAAAAGTATCATTCAAATGGTCATTATATGTTTCCGCAATGAAATGTGAAAGAACATGTTTACAAGTTTGCTTGAAGGAATATACAGGGGATTTTTTACCTAGCGGATGTTTTGCCAAACGGGAATATTTGGGTCTTTAATCTTTATAATAGAATACAACTAAAGAGACGTATGCTGCTATGCATCTTTTGAAAAACAAAGTGGCAAATTAAATTATGGATATTAATGCTTTTGATCTTAGTAACCTCCCTTTACGTCTTAATAAATTGAACGTAACACTTATTCGTGCTTTGCAATGTTATTGCATCCGGATTTCTAATGAAAGTGTCATACGATTGAAACAGAAAATAGTAGCATTTAATAAGTAAAAGGAACCCTTGTCATCATGTCGTAGTAGCTAGTTATTATGAACCATGATGTGTTGTAAGTTATTACACTTCGTAACGTAAATGGGTGAGAGACTGGGTGACACAAATCTCTTACCTCGGAAATGACAAATAAGAAGGAATCTGGTAAACCAGAATGCAAATCTCTGATTTTGACCAAAATACCTTAAAGAAAGGTGTGGTGCCAGGTCTCTTATTTTTTGCACTATCGTTTTAGAAAAACTGAAGAGGCATTATGTATAGGTATTTCTAATTACAGGATGATCCAAAATTCGAGGAATATGTCTTGGAAACATTTTCATAGAATTTGAAATAAGAACACTTCATTCAAATACCTGTTCGTTCAAGTGCCAAAAAGAAAAGTCGGAGTATTACAAAAACAAACAAGAAAACGAAACATTTAATAGCACAACCATAAGCATAAGGAATACAATTCCCAATATCAATAGACCAGCCAAGTATTTAGCGGATGGTAACGTGCATGTAATCCTTTCAAGTCAAGGTTGCTAGTTCTGATAGCCTCTTTCCATGTCATTGTTATAATGGGTAAGAGATGGAATATTGAACTTGCTTATATTTGTTTTCAGGACTCGCAAGAGACGCACTTGTTTTGGCCTCTATAGGGCAAGAAAAAATTGTGTCTTGCTTTATTTATGAAACCAATGAAAGTCAAAAAGATACCAATGAAGAGGCAAAAAAGGAATTAGCATCAAGTTCTGAAGAATATGGCAAAATCAATAACAATGAATCGGGGATACATATTTGAACGGGGTTCGCGTAACCGTCCATCAATTTTTCGCAAATTCAAAATAAATTATTATGGTCTGAGTAGAACATATTAGGTGGTTTCCAATGATCAATTGGCTTTTTATGATCGTATGTAGGTTACATCTATATACCTCGAGGTCATTAGGAAATGAAGACCATGCCCTAACGACAAAAATAAACAAATTACTAAATTTTGTGTCGTGTTGAATTTCAAACTCAACAATGTTTCGCTTATTTCATGTTATCCCCGGGCATCAATTTGCAAAGACTACGTTCAAAATATACATTACTAAATGCATCACCAGTCATCGATACACAGTAGTAGAAAATAATGCCTCAACCTTAGTTTTCTGTTCCATCGCGGCCATTTTATTGGATAAATTAGTGAACGTAGCCGTCCAACCTCGTTTTCAGGAGGCATGTATACCATTGGATTACATACACCAGTGGGACAACTGCATTGTTTGAAGTTGTTTTATGTATGTGCGTTTGTGTGTAACATGTTACACACAAACACACACTGCTTTAAATCCCTTATGCTTATAAAGTATAAAGTGTGTGTGCTTCGTCATCATTTAGTGCGCAGCTCTATCAATTTATATATAAAGACTAAGAGACATTACTTTTGAACCCTTAACTCGTTTAGACATTGGAATCATATTGATACGTGCCATGAATGCATGTTAGTATCCACCTTATAAACAAAACTATTCATTCGGTGAGAAGAGCATTAGAAATGATCGAAAGGATATACGTTTCTGTACAAAATTTTGCAAAACACTAACTTTCAATATCCCAGATGCGAGTAGAAATAATCTTGATTTACCATTCCAAACCAATAAATGTTAAAAATGGGTATTTTTCGTGTAATTGAAAATAGCTAAAACTAAAATGATTTTTTCTAATTGTTTTATGTATTTTAAAATAATATGCCAGCATACTTATTGTTCAGTCCGGTAGTAAATAACTTTGAAAATTCGATAATAAGTTGTGAATTTCGTGAATTTGCTGATGTAGCAGGACAACACTCCCTTGAAAACATGTCATATCTCAGTTATAAATGGTCGCATCTTTTCAATTTGGTTCTTTTGGCATAGAAAACATTCAGTCAGAGTGTGATGACAGCAGTGTATTTGCTTCTCCCTTACTACCGATTATATATACCCATTATAGAAAGTGTACAATTTATTCTGTGAAAAACGTCACGGTCGTTAAAACAGGCCCAGACAGCAGTGGGGAAACTCGAGATAAATTAATTATCCGTGGTTATAAAGTCTTTAGTTCAGTTTATCAGACAAAAGTGTTACAAATCGTGATAATAGTTGTGATTGAATTATAATGAACATGAGCTGGAAAATTCTGAAAAATCACCGTTTTGCTTGTGAAAAACGACCGTGATGTTACTCAGTCATATATTGACAGTTGTCGTGTTGGAAATGGGGCAATTTTCAAGAAAACAATATGACCACTCCATCATAACATAAAAGGATTTTCGAAATAACAAGCATTACCTCATCTATGAACTGATATTGTGCGAAACTGTGACAATCGTCACGCGTGAAAAACGTCACGGTTATAGCATTGATCTCAAAGCAGTAATTAGCCATTTTTATAAATCCCAGATGGATTGATTTAATTTTATATTATGACCCATATTCTTAAAACACATGTTTAAAAGTTATTCAGTGATTACGCATAAAGATCAATTTATAGGCAAGGAAACGATAACAACTAACGAATTTGCCCTTTTGTAAATGTGCTTTTTACATCTTATTCGTCTTTACAATAAAACGTAACATGCAAGCAAAGTTACAAGTTATTTTGGAATTCCATAAGCATAATTTATCGGAAAAGTCATAACAAAAAATGTTATATGAAGACCATTAAAGCCCAAAATAGTTGACCCTCAGTAAATAACATTTCGTTCAGTGTATTCCCGGGGATCGCTAAATTCAATCATAAAGTCACTTAAAGATCTAATAGCAAAGGTTTTGCAAAAATAAATCAATGTAGTATAAAACAAATGTATGTATAATGAAGAAATAAATATATAATGAAAAAAATAGATATCTGTTTGTAATATTGGTATAAACTTAAGATTAAAAAGTGTCACTATCTCTTTCACTTTTCAACAAATATAGGCTCACGTGACATGTGACGCGGGGCAGGCAATTTTGATCTATCGTATACCATATCAGTATCAAATTGCTGATATTTCAACCTCGTCTTGCGAGGCCATTTTGATTTGAAACATCTTGAATTTGGTGTCAAAATGAAGCTGGTCACGCCCACTTTCAGAGTTATCAATGAATCATTTACTACGACTACTATATTCATTTAGGACGCGTGTAAAGTTAACCAATCAGAAAGACAATTGTTCCATATATGTCAGTTCATTAACATATTCAGTGTTTACTACTGCTTTTCGCATCATGACAACACGAGTAGTAACCAATCAAGATGCCGTATTTTATGAGTGAGTTCAGAGTGACACGCACGCGACATGTTGTCTGAGGTGATCGCGATGTTGAACAATTTCTTCTCGGAATTTGTCCAGAGAAATCAGCGATTCTAAATTAAGGTAGGATCTGCCATTCTTTCCTGTTCAAGTTATAACTTATCTCTATCGAATCCTAAAGTTTTGGAAGAAGATATGAAGCGTAGGTTTAAAAACGAAGCGATTAATTTGACGATCTGATTTTGCAATTTGCAATGGCCAGTTTACTGCAAGTCCAGTGCATGTATTTGACAAGAGATAGCGCCAAGTCTTGTATCTAAATGCTTGTTAAGCCACTCAAAAACAAGATCCATATTTTCTAAATTTGATAACTTTGCAGAAAACCTGTTTTCATAATCTGTTTTCCGCGTCTAGATTCAAACTGAGTATGATAATAGGATCGCTGGAATCTTCAGTCAATGGCAACGGGTCTTCATTCCAGAACTCACATTTTTAGTTGATTCTCCGTCATAGTTCTTGTCTAAAAGTCCCCATATCTGCTCTCTTACTGCCATACTTGCACACATTTCCCCTCCTTAAATTGTCTTCATTCAAATTACACCCTCTATAGCCATTTTCCAGAACCCGGGAATCAGAATCGCTGATGTTTGCCATATTGAACATATTATATGTACTGTAATATCTGTACATTGCCTGCTACGCGTAATGGTCACGTGACTAGCGCGATACAGGAAAAATGGGGAATTTCGAAACAACAATTTTTGGGCACTTTTATTGCAAATTTCAGGTATTTATAAAGTGTTTGTGGTATAAAATATAATCCACAGACATAAATGAACATCCAAACTACATATTTCATTAAGTTTTGGAGCCTTTTTTGCTCTTAAATTAACATCTTTAATGTTTGCATTCTGTTTTCTTTTCAATGAATGGAATTATTATTATTAATAGAGAACAGCATAAACCGAAAACTCTAGTTAAGTAATATGAACGATTACAGCTTTTCAACGTTGTTTTCGTGTTATAATTAATTTTTATCTATTTCAATTCCATTTGCACGATCTGTATATGATCTGTAATATTCAATATGCCTTTGCGGAACGCAATTCGTTGGAAAAGAGATAGAGAAAAGCAAAAACTAAGCAATCCCCGAGAATATTAAAGAAAATGTAAGGCAAGCAATGCAAAAAAAACACTCCTCTTTGAAATATATCGCCAACCGACTAGCAAAAAGAAATTAGCACAAAATGCACGCTTCGAGAATGGAGGCAACAAAGCGAGATTAATTCTTTCAATGTTCTCTTTCTCTAAAACAAAACCGGTATAACCCATTGCACTGAATATTAAACGTCCAGAACTTCAAAGA